CTCTAGGTTGGGTTCAGCTTTAGTCAAAGCGGCGTACAATATTGCTTGTCCATAACTTAACGGAGACACTTTGATTTCCCTTTATGCTGTGCTATTGATGTTGGAAAGAGTGTGGACCCTTTTACCACAGTTTTGAGCGGATACCAAGGTCACGCATGTACAAGATAACTCTTACGTTATGGCAACAAATAAGCTAAAAAATAAAGTTCTAAAGAATAAAACAATGAATGGTAAAAGCTTAAGAATAATATGATGAATGGTAAAGGAGGGTCAAAAAGGAGACTCTACTTACCACGCGCAACGAAAAGCCTTTCCATCAATAAGAAAGGAGTGTAGAAAGTTGGTCTTTCACGGTTTAGCCTAAGAATTTGCTACATTTGAATGTGAATAAGGTCCTTTCTGGTCGAAATATGGTTTTTAGGAAAATCTAGAAGATACCTTAAAAAGGAGCTCAAACGTTTGACTCGTTGTTGTCAGAAGGAGCATAACGGTCAAGAGACTATTGTTTTCTATCACCTTTTTCTTTTCTGAAGTCATCTTTCTTGGTGTATGAAGGTTTTATTTAAATTCATTTCAATACAGAAAGAAAAACACCGGTGGTGATTAGGCGTCGAAATAGTCCGTTTTGCTTTTCATCGGTAGATGTCTTTTTGTAGTTTCTTATTCTGGAAAGAATGTCGACACTCCCACGTCACCGTTATATACGGCTAAAAAATTACACGCACCAAAGCAATCAAAGCAAGTTCGAGAATAGTTGACCTTGTAACAACAAATAAACTGACACATGGATTGCCTTACACAAAATAATTCAACGAATGGTAAACGAGGATCATAAACGATGTTCTACTGACCATGTCCATGGAAAAGCCTTTCCCGTTACGGGTTATTTTGATTCAAACGTAAAAAAAGAGAAAAGCTACTCGAAATTCGGTTTTTTTAAAAATGGAGAAATGTCTTTGTAAGGAGCTCAGACGTTTGACTCGTTGAAACAGTTTGACTAGAAAAACAGCATTCAAGTGACTGGTCTTTTTTTCTTGTTATCATCTTCAGCTGATCGTCCGAAGCGACCCATTTTGTCGTCATGAAAGTTTTTTTTAATCTTTTCTCATCCATGCAATCGTTAGTCTTTTTAGTTAAATCTTACTGGAAGCTGCAATCCGGTGGTTGTGGGTTTCCAAAACGTTAGTTTTCGTAATCATCGACTTTAAAATACTCGATCATTGCGAAGAAAGAAATTTCCTTTCAAGAGAACACCGTCTATAAAATTCGTGAACTTTTCTGATACTTTCAAAGTGCCACATTCTTTTCGATGTTACTGCAGTGGCGGATCCAGTTTAAAATAACATTTTCTGCTTTTCGAGCCTCATTCTGGTCTAAAAATAATGGCCCAGGCCCCTCCCCTCGATCCCCCACTGTACTCTCTAGGTTGGGTCCTGCGGTATACAATATCACTTGTTGTAAAACTTAACGAAGACTTAAATTTCCTTTTATGCTGTGCTATTTATGTTGGAGAGAGTGTGAACCTTTTTACGTCACGGTTTTGAGTACAAGGTCAGGCGTGTACAAGATGATTCTTAAGTCATAACAACAAATTAACTAATAATAAAGAATAACAATGAATGGTAAAAGAGGGTCAATAACGAGATTCTAGACAACACGCGCAATGAAAAGCATTTCCAATAAAAAAAAGAGTTTAGGAAATGTGTGTTACAAGGTTTACTGAGCCTAAGAACTCGCAACATTTCAATGTGAATAAAATCAATAGAGACTGAAAAATGGTTTTTATAAAAATAGAGAGGAAAGCCTTGTAACAATTAGCTCTAATGTTTGACTAGTTGTTGTCGAAGAGGAAGCACGACGTTCAACAGACTATTGATTTCTACCACCAATTATCATCCTCGGGCCCTATTCTTTTCTGAAGCCACCCTTCTTGGTGTATGAAGGTTTTACTTAAATTTATTTTTAGCTTACAGAAAACTAAACACCGGTGGTGAATAGGATCCCACGTCACCGTTATATGGGGATAAAAAAAACATGCACCAAAGCAACAAATAAACTGAAATATGAACTTTTAAAGAATAATAATTACAATGAATAGTAAAAGAGAGTCAAAAACGAGATTCTACAAACCACGCACAACGAAAAGCCTTTCCCAATATTATGAGAGAGGTTAATGATAATGATTGTCAATGAAGTTTTATCTAAAAGTCCCCTGCTCTTAAAAAATAGAATATAGTCGAAAAATGATTGCTTAGAAAATAGAGAAGACGTCTCTGTAAGGAGCTTGGAAGTGCGAGTAGTTGTTGTCTAAGGAGAAACGACGTTCAAAAGTTTTTTTTTTTTAATACAAATGAATACACCATTTTTTTTTTAAAAAAAAACGATTGATATTTATTTTTCTTAATGATCTTCTTTCATTAATCACTTTTCGTCTCCCTGCAACAAGAACAACAACAAATCCGTTATCAACTTCTCTGCTGTATGATATAGTTTAAAAGGAGTTTTAGTGATCGAAGTATTTAAGTACCTTGTGGAACCTCGATTTAACATGCAAAGGGACTGGGGAAATGTGTTAGTTAAGTGGAGGGTTCGCTATATCGAACACCTCTATATAACGAATGCTTGGGAAATGTTACATCGTTAAGCGGAGATGAGGTTATACGGTGTGTATGACTGTGTATATAAACACTTGGATAGTTTGCCAGACACAAGTTCACAGATCTTTGATCTCTTTCTCTATCTCTTTGGCATGTTCTAGCCATTTCTAATACTTTATCCCCTGAAGAACATCGGTGAGCAAATATTGATCAAACCTTTTAATTTCTAAGGCTTAATTTCAGGCAAATAAAATGAACTGTTTGTAAAACTTTAACTTCTAATAATTAAATCTTTTGTAATGGTTTTAAAAAAAAATATTCTCAAAACAGAGAACGCTTTCAGATCATAGCTGTGTAAATCGAACTGAAACAGTGCATGGAACCTTTCGTTTCCTGTTTTTACTCTCACCTTCTGTATAGAATATGTGTGAAAATCTTTGATCAGGAATTGGTATATTTCAAAGAGCTACACAGTGACCAAGAATACTATTGACCGACAATATACAGAGGGGGTGGAGCTGTATTGTCAACTATTACTAGAAAAGATTTTTTATTTGGGGGAGGTGGTTAATAGAGGGATGGCTTTTATTCGAGGAAATAAAATATTTTGTATCATCTTACAATAGAACTTTGATTTCCACTTT